TTATTAATTGATAGGATGATTTCAATTACCCTGTATTCCAAGATCATAAAGATATTTGGATGCTAAATCTATTTATTGTATAGTTCCGAATATAAGCCAATCCATATATAAGCTGAGAGTTTTTTTCTTCAAAAATGTATCCAAAATTTAAAACACTTGCAAAATATCCATATCCAACATTCAAAACCTATGTATAAGCCAAATTATATTAAAAATAAATAAATAAATAAATAAAAACTGTAGCATTCCAACATACGTATATCATGAGGGGGAAAATGTTGCAAACCAATGAAAAAGATATAATATTTTGTAATTAAAGTGCTTTAAAGTAAAACCGTAATCGCTAACAACAATGGTTTTAACTCTAATAACAGTATCTGAATTTAACATATTTTACCCATTCATTTGTTTTGTACAATCTGTTGTTGTTTGTATAATCTGTAGTATCTGTGCTAGTTTTATTTTCTGTGCTATTTTATTTTTTGTTTGAAAGAGGGACAAGAAAAGAAGTTCTTATATGGATATTTTAAATCACAGATAATTGAGAGTTTTTTCTGAAAATTCTAACAGTGGTATGTATGACTGCTTGGCATTTCTCCATAAATAAAAAACAGGTTCGAGAGGGGAGAAAGGCAGGGTGCAAATTTCTCCAACAGCAGATTTTTCATTTTGGCTACGATGCTACAAACCAGCATTATAAATAGTTTCTAATATAAGTCATTTTCATAAAATGAATAACTCAAATCATTTATAATTAATTTTTTCATAAAGAACTGGATATTTGGCAATTTATCAGCTAACGGAAAAGTCCTTAAAGCTCATCCTCATAGTTCAACTAAAACCATATACAGTACAAAATCCGATATGCGGATGTCCGGCATCCAGAATGATCTAAAATCCGGACCTCAAAGCCTCCAATAACTGTCTTTTTTTTTTTTTTTTTTTTTTTTTGTATGCTTTACGCATATGCATTTTATTTTTTCCTCCCATAATAAAACACGTGGGAAGTCCTGATTCTTAATTTCACTTAGGCACTAAATAAAATACCTTGTTATCGAAGAAACAATCATTTTAGCATAAATTTTTTAGATCAATAATTTAGCTCCGTAGCTATGTATCTGCTCAGCATAAATCTCAAACCGAAACATTTTACATAGAAACATAATTTATTTTACACCTATTAGTATTTTATACCCCTGATGCCAACCTCGCGAATCACTATTTATTATATTTTGCTTTCATCACCGCATGTTTTCAACAAAAGACAGCTTGAATAATGACTCATGCAGCCTAAACACATCATGCAGCTCATGCATGAATAATGCCTAAACACTTTTTTTATATTAGTAATTGGATAACAAAGAGTATGGTAACCTTTTAAGCTGATATTACGCTTGGCGATGATTACATATTTAACTTTAATGCGCTAAGAAATGTTGACTGGGAAAAATTTAACAAAACTCTCTTTATATATACTAAAAATAGATTTTGTTAATGAAACTCATAGGCCAAGAGATTAATTTAGTGATGTTTGAATTAAGAATATCTGATTTGTTATTCACATAAACCCAGAACTGGCACCAGAGCTTGTGTGGCCGCACCGGCACACAAGTATGGCGACAGAATTTAGGAAAGTCAAAATATTTAGAATTTAGAGAAGCACCGAGTGGCAAAATTAAGGGATGACAAATTTTTTATAACTTAAGGAAAGCACTGGGATCCTAAGTTTAGGGGCGGCAAAAAGCTTCAACTTTGGGAGGTGCTTTTCACCAGAATTTAGGACCTGCAAAGACTGCATCAGGTGGTAAGATACCTAGCGCCGGCCCTCTATAAGCCTTAAGTACAGTCAAAAGTCTTTAATCCGGACGTCCATAATCCAGAATGATCTATAATCTGGACCTCAAAGCTACAAACTTTCTGTGCATGCGTCAACGCATAATACCTTTACACATGCACAAAAATACGTTTATGCATGCACGTTTAATGTATAACGAACGGTATAAACTAAGCTAAAATTATCTAATTATCTATTTCAGTTAATGTTGCAGATTGCGTTGCTCCTTAATCTTCTAATTGGATCCAGCTTATTATTTTTTGCAGACTGTTAGAGCAATTTTATAAAAGTAAGCATGAACTTTCGATTAAGTCAAAAAGAATTTCCGATTCTCGAGCTACCAAAGGATCTACAAAGCGAAAGCATGTTCCGATGTCCATCAAACAAAAAGTGAAATTGCTGAAAAAATGGATAAAGGCATATCCTTTGATTCTCTGATCATTCCAAAATATATTTATCAATTTCACGCTGCTCTGTGGGGGGGGGGACGACATGGCGCTCAATGAACTGGAAGTTGATCTGTCAGCACTATCCTTATCTTCAGGGCAGATGTGTTTATTTTATTCGGCTTATAATTCCTTACTAAATGTAGTATTTCATCTCGATGTACTCCGTCTTTGATATGATTTAAATCAAATTCCTCATCATTATAAATATCACGAATACACATCAAATAGTTTTCTGGTTGCAATTTTCTAATTTCGACTATGCGTAATGTATGCTTTACGCATGCGTGAGTTGAAAGAAATGTTTAATAAAGTAAACCAGTAAATATAAAGCCTTTTTTTTGTAAATTTTGATACCCTTTAGATCATAAGTGCTCTTTATTTCATAAATTACAGTTTCATATTTTTAATTGTATAATTTCTGCATGCCATCTTACCAGATTTAAATTAATGATTTATAATCTGGAAAAAACCCTAATCTGGAATCGCCAAAGTCCTGACAAGTCCAGATTACAGACTTTGTACTGTAATACAATTCATGCTTAATGGTCTTAGTACGAGATAGAAGCAGGACAAAATTTAGTGGAACAGCTTGTCTTTTACCCCCAGTCTCATGATACATAGCCAATAATGTACAGCAGATGTTATTAAACTAGGCTAAAATTATACTTTACTGATTCCAAAGAATTTCAGTTAATATAGCAGATTGCATTGTTCCTTAACCTTCTAATTTGATCCAGCTTATTTTTTTCAGACTGTTATTATAGAAATTTTATGACAATTAAACCTTGATCTTTTGGTTATGTCGAAAAGAATTTCTAATTCTGGAGCTACGACAGGATCTAAAAAGTGAAAGCATGTTTTTATGTCCATTAAACAAAAAGTGGAATTGTTGCAAAAAAATGGATAAAGGCGTATCCGTCTCGAAATTATGCGAGGAGTCTGGCTATGGAAACTGTATGTGACATAAGAGGGGGGGAAAGGAAACTTTTTGAATTTTTTGTGGATTCCAACACCCCACTCACAATGAATAACAGAAAAATTGTTTGTTATGCTAAAAGTGACGATCATGAGAAAGTGATGATTGAATGGATCACGCAGCTTCACAGCGAGAGTTTGCCATTGATGGGTCCAATGGTAATGGCTCAAGCCAAAATATTTCACGAAGAAATGAACTTAAAAACTGAGTGCGCATATTCAACAGATTGATTAACCGAATTTAAAAATTGCCACGGTATGAGGCAATTAAAAATTTCAGGTGAAAAAGCTTCAACTGATACTGAAGCTGCTGAACTCTTTGCAGATGAATTCATTGAACTCATGACTAGTGAAAAAGTATCTCCAGAACAAATTACAGGAAATACCTTGGCAACCTCTACAAGAAAGACTCCAACTGGTGTCAAAGATTCCAAAGCGAGACTAACAATTCTAACATGCGCAAATGCTGCAGGGACACACAAATGTAAACTTTTCATAATCGGAAAAAATACATGACCTTTAGCATTTAAAGGAGTACCTACTTTCCCCATTATATATATCGTGCAAATAAAACAACAGAGGTGACACAAGTGTTAACAAATGATTGGTTTGAAAATCATTTTATATCCGATGCTCAGCAACATTTGAATTCAGTTGGTTTACCTGATGACACAAAAATTGTTCTGATTGTAGTCAACTGTTCAGCTCATACTTCAGTTTTAGTGAAAGATAATATATCCATATTATTTTTTCCTCCAAATTATATGTCCATCATTCAGCCTCTGGATATCAGAATAGTGTGGACGCTGAAATGCAAATATAAAGTAGCATTTTTAAAATCAATGTTAAATTTCTTGAATAATGGCAAGACTATTCAAGAATTTTTGAAATATTTTAACATAAAATCTGCTGTGAGGAGCATCGCAAGATCGGGGGAGGGTGTGTCTCTAGATACTTTAAGAAATGCTTGGCATAATTTATGGTGAGCTACCATATTTCATAGTGAAGATAATAGCCATGAATTGGATATCTCAAACCCAAGGTGAAATTTTTCAATTGATGGATTTTGTAAAGAAATTTGAAGAAGCAGTAATTAAATGAACATGATATAACAGAAATTTTTCATTGTTATGACTATGCACCAATTATCAATTAATTACCAGACAGTGATATCTGTAATATGGTTCTAGATAAAAAAAATACTGTTACTAATAGTGAAGAAAGTGACAGAGAGATTATTGAAAAAGAAAAAATTTTGATTGACAAGTTAGTTGTAATTCTTGACGCGACAATTACAGGACTTGAACAAGAGAACTTTCTTACTGAACAAGAAATTATGTCTGTTTATAGAATTAAAGAGAAAGTATTAGCACAAAAAAATTAAGCAACTTAAACAACTTAACATTGAAAGAAATGTTTAATAAAGTAAGGAAATAAATGTAAGCTCTCTTTTGTAAATGTCGATACCCTTTAGATCATAAGTGCTCATTATTTCATGAATCACAATTTCATATTTTTAATTTTATAATTTATGTATGTCATCTTACTAGATTTAAATTGATGATCTGATATCCAGAAAAATCCCAAATCCGGAATCACCAAAGCCCCGACAGGTCCGGATCTCTGACTTTGTACTGTATATTGTATTGAATATATTCAGTAATAAGTATTCTATCTATCTTGTCTAGAAAATTTTACCTTTATAAAGTAATATAGATTAATATCCACTTATATCATTTCAGAAATTCGTGTTGAAAAGAGAGTCGCACCTTTGCTGATGCGTGTATATGAAGTGTATAATCCCGGTGCTATAGTCAAAATCCTTTGCTATTGCTATGAGACTGAAAGGTGAGATTATTTTTTTTTAATTCTGTTTATTTTAGTGTGAATTCTGTTTATTTTAGTGTGAATTCTGTTTATTGTAACTAAGGCTTAAATTTGTTTTTTCAAACTTACACCTGCAAAAGAAATAAAATCGACAGAACACAACAAAAATTACTTAGCAGCAGATTATAATGCAATATATGTGTTATTTCCGTGTGTGGGGGGGAGGGGGAATTGCAAGTTTAATCATTGAAGTCAGATCATTAAGTGGAAAATTTCTAGAGCTATGCTAAGCTTTGCTCACTGTGTGAGCTGACATCTATGGGCTAAAAGATCTTGGGTTTAGGTGCATATTAGAGCAACTATAATGTGATGTATAAAACTAAAAGTATATTCACTCCTTCACATACTTTGAAATTGTTTTCATATGTAATTAGATAATTTTGCAAGTAATTTTATGTTGTGAGAAATTAAATTTAATATATGTGGTGCTGCTTTCAAATATAGAATTTTCTTATTTTATGAAATAAAATGCTCTAAATTATGTGTAAAAAAAAAAGAACAGAAAAATCATCAATTACTTTTATTTAAGACACCACCTGAATTATTTTTAATATGAAATGCTAATAACACTTGAATGCAGAGCTTAGATGTAGGGCCGTGTATTTTAGGATTTGCAAAATTAAGATTTACCCCAGAATATTATTCAGCTAGTTCTGTGCAAATTCCTTTTTGTTTTAACTTACAAAGATTCGATCTGCCGTTTCTCAAGCATACTTTTGCTTTTCCTTTAGAAATTAATTTTAATTCCATTCAGATTTATCCTTTAAATTGGCATGCATAGATTCAAGATGTCTTTTAGGAAATGATGATTTTCATACTTTGATTGGTGATAGTTCACCACAAAAAACACATTGAGGTTGAGGGTCCATTTCATCTCCATTCCAAATAAACTCAAATGATAAATAACTTTCATTATATTTTCTAGAAACAATTTTTCTTTTCTTTCCAATATTCTTAGTGCTAGTAGATAGTCCTATATACATCACCTGTTAAATCATCTCTTTTTCACTTTGTCAATCCTAGCCAACCATTTTGAAAAATCTAGGTTTGTTTTATTATTATTTCATAAATATTTAAATGCATCATATATTATGAGTTATTCAAAAACAAATGATGATCTCAAATTGCGTAGAAAAGTAAGGAATACAAAGCAACAAGAAGACAAAATACCTGCTGTTACAGACAGTAAACTGTCGTAAAAAGTTGATTCTAATTGAAAATAGAGCAATATGAGCCCGGGAAAGTTGGCGACATAAAATGCAGAAATGGTAATAAATCATTCAACTCTAAAAGAATTAATGAGACACTATTATCTTTTTTATAGGAACTTACTTTTATTTCCTACTAAATATACAACATCGATTTCTATTACTCCTTTTAAAAACATCATTTATGACAATTTTGTTATGCCTATGGCTACAAAAATATTTGTTAAAATAAAAACGGATTATTTTGCTAAAGTCTATGAATGGCTATTTACATTGAACAAACCCCAAATCGCATAAATTTATGAGTATTACAGGATTTTGGGGTATTTAATTTTTGAATTTAATAGTTAAAAATACTTCGTTTCATTGCGCACCACCTACTTTTCTCTTGCGTACCACCGGTTGAGAATCGCTGCCTTAGTCTATATTTTGAGGTGCATAAGGGCTGCATTAAGGAATGCTAAATGAGAGTACTTAAAGCCACTGTCGAGTTTGGGATCAAACATAAAGTGTGATTCATCATCTGTCATGAGTTTCTGCCTAATCCGAGATAGAATCAATAATTTATTATAAGACAATTTTTTTCTATATATTTTTAAAATTTTTATTTTGGAACACTCCCCTTTTTTTGTAATAAGACTGTTTTATTATAAGATATTTGTTGTAAGTCCAGATCTCTGTTAATATGATGGACAGTTGTGAACAGATGTGATATCTTCAACTCTTGAGTGTTTTTACAGACAGAAATATCTAGTTTATTGGTGAACTTCCATTTAACCATTTTCATGACACTGTTTGCTTCTTTTTGAAACACCTTTTACAAAATTTTCAATGATATCAGCATGCCTTTACTCTTCCTATTACAGTAGAATCTCTCTTAGCTGGAATAGGACCTCATGGATTCTAAATAAGAGATTTTTCCAGATAATTGAATATATATTTTTACATTTGTTTGTGATACAATCTATAGAAAGTGCTGCATGTGAATCTTTTTTTTTTTTTTTTAATCTGTTGGCCACAATAAAATAAATATTATCAAAAATCATGTGGATTATTTAAAATTAAAACACATGTATATGGTTTTATGGTACTTCTTTGTTATAGGAGCCCCTAACCATGTATAGTGATTTTAGATTTGCATCAAGATCTCAGCTATAGTTTTGCCAAGCTCATAAAGCGCGAATGTAAAAATAAGCAACACAATATATAAAATAACAATAATATTCACAGGTTGTTTCCTAAGAATACTTTAAGAATCCTTATCCTTATTATTATTATTTTATCGCATGCATTGTTCCAGTCAACTGCAGCATTTTGACACATATTAAGCTGCTTGTTACACTATTTCATAGACATCAACGCCTCTGCCCAAGAATACGTAAGTCTAATAGCAATGATGAATGATAGTCTGGAACTGCTGAATCAGTTTCCAACATGGAGGCTCTTTTTCTTTTTGCAGTTTTTAACATTGTGCCTCCAAATGTCATTAACATGAAGTTTCATGTTGTGGCTATTTTAGCATACTTCTCTGATAAACAACGTCTTTCTTGAAAAAATGATATGGCATCCACCTCATTGCTTGGTAAAGCAAAGATTGTTAACCTCATATTCACAAAAATATATTAAATAAATATATTATGCATAATTATAAAATAAATATATTTTTTAATAAACAATGCGAAATTGAAAACCTCATCAAAAATGAATACGGTACAAAGTCCGAGATCCGGACTCATCGGGACTTCTGTGATTCCGAATTTGGGATTTTTCCGGATGTTAGATCATCAGTTTAAATCTAGCAAAATGGCATGTAGAAATTACAAAATTAAAAATGTGAAATCGGGATTTATGAAATAATGAGACATTTATGATCAAAATCATAAATGTTTCAAAATTACGAAAAAATGTATCAAAATTTACAAAAAAGAGCTTAATATTTATTTGTTTACTTATTAAACGTTTCTTTCAATGTAAGTTGTTTAAGTTGCTTCGTTTTTTGTGCTAATACTTTCTCATAAATTCTGCAGACAGACATAATTTCTTGTTTAGTTACATTGCTGAAGTCCTGTAATTGCTGTGTCAAGAATTCTGACTAACTTGCCATTCGAAATTTTTTCATTTTCAGTAAACTCTCTGTCACTTTCTTCACTATCGGTAGCGGTATTTTCTGGATCTAGAACCATACTACAGATTTTGCCATCCATTAATTGATTGATGATTGAGGAGCATTGTCATCTCAATAAAAAGCTTCTTTTATATCATCTCCATTTATTACCTGTTCTCCACATTTCTTTACAAAATCCTTTAATTCAGAAATTTCACCTTTGGTTTGCGATATCCGAAAACCTTTAAAATTTGCTGCTATGATCATAAAATTTAGCTATCATTCACTATACATATTTCACTATGTATCATGAGATTGATGTATAAAGACAAGTTGCTCCATTAAATTTTATCATGCTTCTATTATGCTGTGAGACAATTAAGCCTGAACTGTATTAATTTAGCTATTTATTATACTTATGTCTATTTTTTGCACATGCTGAAGGATTATCTGAGTCCTGAATAAATAAATTCCCACATATACTTAAGGCTTATTGAGGGCTGGTGCTAGACATCTTATCGCCTGAAGCAGCCTCCTGTGGGTCCTAAATTCTGCTATCAAGTGCCTCCCTTTGTCATTCCGGATATTGGACATCTGGATCTTGAACTTTATACTGTGATATAAGAACACACACACACCAAAATCAAAAATGCAACACATTGTTAATATACGATTACATGGTGAGGTATAAAAACATGCAGCCAGATTTTGGTGAGATATCTCGGTTGATTGCCAATTCAATATCAGGACCTGCTAGAACAAAGAAGAACCTATTTTATATTTCAGGAAACAAAATTAAATAATGATTTAAAATTATCATATGTGATATGTGGGCTTGAAAGTTATAAATTTTTTCGAATGTCTATTTCATATTTAAATATTATAAAATTCTCTCTGTAATTTTAAATATTTGCTGTGTGAATGTTTGTAGCAATGTATTTGCCATTTGCAAAGGCATTTTATAGAATGCCAAAAATTGGCTAATGGAACATGAAATGATCAATATTTCAAGCATTTTCTAGGCATTATGTAGAATTAAGACAACAATAACACGCCGAATAAATACTAATTCAGAAGTCAAACAACAAAAATCAGCGTTAATTTACAAAATTTTCACAGGACTAGTTTCGATGGTTTTACCGAACCATCATCTTCAGCTGCAAAAACCGCAAATGAACAAGATAGGAAATAATGATTAGATAAGATAAGAAAGCCTGGACAAGAATAAGCAAGTGGCGCCATCTGTTGGCGAAACCAGAACTAAAACATAATTTCTCTAAAAGCCGAAGGCAAATTTGGATTGGAATTAGGATCGTTAACTAGAACAGAAAGATTTTTATGAATGTGAAATGCCTCTAGAAAATCCAGTTCTCCAATGGAAGATGTTTTTTGAATAATTTTGGCAGCAGAAAAATTGAAAGTGTGATTTTCGGACCAACAATGTTGAGCAACAGAAGACTTCTGTGTTTCCTTTTTTCTAACATATGCCTCATGTTCTTTGACGCGAAATTTTAAGGCTCTCTTAGTTTGGCCAATGTAAATTAAACCACACTGGCAAGGAATCCTATAAATACCCCAGGAATTCATATCCGGAATGGGGTCCTTGAGTATAGAAGTTGGAATTTTATTGATGGGAGAATAAACAACCC